CAATCTGGCTATAGAGCAATTGTGACACTCTTCTGGTCAATGTCAGTAGCTTCGGGAAGTCAGAGGTAGGAAGGGGCTAACGCTCCCCAGCGCTGTTAGCACCATCGCCTTAGCAGATGGCGTTTCACAGTGAAAGCCAGCCCTGGACCAAATTAATAGATGTGTGCACATTTAGTAACAGCACAAAACAATCGTGTTTCCTGCACTCAGGTCGTGGGAGAAGTCCCTCTCTTTGTCCTCAGGCCAGGACCTGGCATGAGTTTTACTCCCAAGATCAATGCAATGAGACAGCAGAAGCAGCTAACGCTGTGGTCCATGGGACGATGTGGAGGTCACTGGACCGATGGGGTTTTTAGAGCTCGTGCTTTGCTCCAAAGTGTTTATGCTGCTGGGCCTGATGGATTTTTATCCTGTATGTCTGAGGATGGGGCCTCTATGAGATTCCTAGCCAACCAGCGACCTCAAGTATCCACTCATTTTACCACTGAAAGAGCATTTTTAACATCCCAGATGCTGCTTAACAAATCCTCTGAGGTAGATCTTGAAAACATTTGAAGTGCTAATGGGCCACCTCTGGAACCTGGATTCCTGTTTAGAATATTTCAAACCCTAACTGCTCCTAGGTTGGAGATTAAATTTACACACACACATACATACACACACACACACCCCTCTGTTTACACGAAGTATTTAAACGACCAAACACAATACAATCTTAGCTAACACTTACTGAGCATTTACTATGTGACAGACACTAAAGGCACTCATATCTAACGGTCCAGCACATCAGTGAGGTGGGTTCTGTGAGTGTCGCCATTTTGCAGAGAAGGAAACGGAGACCTTGCCCAAGTCCCACAGTTCGTAAGCTGCAAGTCAGGGGCTCAGATTCCAAGAACCCAGCTCCTTAACCACTATACCACATGGCCTCTGATGGGGACCAGGGCCAGACTGAATTTAGAGACATAGAGAAATGAGCCACTGATAGTGTTAATCTGAGAACCTGACCTTTAGAGAGAGGCCCACTCCACAATCGGTGAGCAGTGAGCTATAGCCTGAGCGCAGGCTGGGAAGACACATGTGTTACACTCTGAGCTAGTGGGGTGGCCCTGGTCCGACACAAAGTCCTTGCTCACAGCCGGCCTGCCCAGGCTCTCTTCTCCAGGCTTTGGAATGAGGACCAAGATTCCAGCTTCAGTGTGGCTGGTGTCCTGAAATCAGATTTGCCGTGGAAGCTTATCTCACTTCATTGACTGGGAAGACAAGAGAGCTGGTGTGTGGATCAAGAGTGGCCAGTAACACTCAGAGAAGACTCCATGGGCTTCAGGTACTGAGAGCCAATAGCATCTCTGACCTAAACCTTCAAACACACACATAATTGCTTTTTTTTTTTTTTTTTAAGATTTTATTTATTTAATTGACAGAGAGAGACATAGTGAGAGAGGGAACACAAGCAGAGGGACTGGTAGAGGGAGAAGCAGGCTTCCCACGGAGCAGGGAGCCCGATGCGGGGCTCGATCCCAGGACCCTGGGATCATGACCTGAGCTGAAGGCAGAAGCTTAACAACTGAGCCACCCAGGCACCCCCACAATTGCTCTTCTTGGTTTAAGTTGTTGCAACCCATTGTTTTCACCGATGCAGCCACTCAAAGTTTCCAAGCCAAAAAAAAAATCACATGACTGCTCCAAGGAAGATTCACTGGCAACGATAGGGCACTGAAAGCAGAGGGGGTAATTTATAATAATGATCCAGGCAACAGAAAATGACCCAGAGGGACAATGGAAATAGAAAAAGGGGACTCAAGGCAAGGGGACATGAAAATTCCAATTCCTTCCCCGAGTTCCATTATATCCTGGTGGCCAGGTAATTTGGTAAGGATGTTTCTCTTCTCCCATAAAGGACCAATATACTTCCATATATATATTTGTTTATAATTACTTCTTGAAGGATTTACTTAAAATTTTTCCCATTTATTATGTAAAGTTTCAAATACAGCAAAGTTTACAGAATTCTATGAATACCCGTACTCTCATATACCCAGCTTTAGATCATCTGACATTTTGCTCTACTTGCTTTATCACACACCTAGCTATATTCATCCCGCTACCCATCCATTAACCCATCTTATTGTTGTTGCCATTGAATCAACTGCAGACAACCGTATACTTCTAAATAATTTGGTGGTGTATCTTTAACTAGAGCTCAAGATTTGCTGTTTCTTTTTTCTTTCTTGTAATGTAAAATTCAAACACAATTAAACACATCTTAACTGTTTTTTTTGCTGAGTTTTGGCATGCACCTGCATATTCCCAACTCTTATCAAGATCCAGAATGCTGCAACCACATGGATAGAACTAGAGGGTATGATGCTAAGTGAAATAAGTCAGAGAAAGACAAATACTATAGATTTCATTTATATGTGGAATCAAAAAAACAAAACAAATGAACGAAAAAACCAGACTCTTATTAAATACAGAGAACTGGAGGTTGCCAGAGGGGAGGTGGGTGGGGGATAGGCAAAATTAAGGGGATTAAGCGGTACAAACTTCCAGTTATAAAAGAAGTCACAGAGATGAAAAGTACAGCATAGGAAATAGTCAATAATATTATACTGACGTATGGTGACAGATGGTGACGACACCAACCACGGGGAACATCCAGCAATTCACAGAATTGTCAAAACAACATGTTGTACACCTGAAATGGATACAGCATTGTAGGTCAGTTACGCTTCAAGAAAAAAAAAATCTAGAATGCAACCTTCCTTTCGGTCAGGCCCTTCCCAGCCTGCCCCCGCCCCACACCTCCCAGCCAAGTGACGCCTCCTGCTGTTTTCTGGCCCTGGACAGTCTGTGTTCAGGTCTCCTTGGAGAGACCGCAGTAGCATTCCAAGCCCGGTCCTCGGGGGCAGACTGAGGGAGAAAATGTGCTCTGTCTGCATTCCTGCCTGACCCAAGACTGGCACACACCGCACACACCCTTACGGGGGGGAGGGGGGGGTAAGCGCCACATTCACCTGGCCCCAAACATCGGTGAAATGATCATTTGAAGAGTCCTCCATTCTGGATTGGGGGCGGGGGGTAAGCCACACAGCCTTTTATAAAAGTAATACTCAAATCTAAATTTAAAAAAAAAGTTAACCGCTTTACAAAAACTGGACTAGTAGCCAAACTGGAAAGTTTTCTTAAAGGCAGGCCAAAAAAGCTTACTGTGTGTCTTTCCATCTGATTATACACTTCATATTCCTTAATTGCTAGAGGCAAACAATGTAATAGAAGGATTAAAAAGAACAAACCTGGGCCTGAACCACAAAATCGGCTGAGCTGTCTGTGTTTTTAAAGACACAAAAGCACCACTCCAACAAATCATTTTCCTCTTCAATCTATAAATGGTATTTAAAATATTTCCCCATGGCTAGGCTGCTTATCAACATACACAGCCCTCCTTATACTAGAATCCACACCAAACAAATCTCCCCTCACCTGCCTCCATCCTAATATTCTTCAGGGCAGTATGTGGTGTTGGGGAGGCTGTTGGAAGGGCATGTGTGGAAGGCCATGGCCACTGTAGACTGTCCCTGCAATGGTGGGGGGATGGAGGGTCCTGTCGGCCCTTCTGCCCTGTCCCAAGGCTGGCTTTAGAAGTGCTCTAGAGCCCCATGTGGAGTGTAAGCACAGCAAGCACAGCTGAGACTTTCCTTCTGCTGAGCAACTTTGGCCACAACACAGGAGGGGCTTGGAAAATAGGCTACAGTCCAGGCTCCCTCTGCCCCCGAGTTCCCCTCCAGCACAGTAGCCAGGAGTCTGTTCTCAACAGGAACCCCTGCCCAATCCTGTTTCATATCAGATGAAATATGTCCCACTCTTTACCCACCCCTGAAAGTCCCCCACTGCCCTCACCTGGAAACCAAGGAACAAGCAAAATCAGGAGAGAGAGACCACCAAGTCCACTCAAAGTCCAACAGCTGTTAAAGAAATGTGGAAAAGAGGGCTAAAATCTGCTCATCTATAAGATCCTAACTATTACTCGGGAACTTAACAGTTATCGAAGAACAATGAAAAGAATGTGGTAGCAATGGGAGCTTATTAAGTTCCAGGGATGTCTCAGAGCTGGCTTGGCGACAGGAGCTAGGCCTGGCTACACACAATAGGAGGTGAGCAGAGTAAGGGGACATCTTCTCTTGTCCCTGAAAGGGGGAGGGATGCAGACAGGAAAGGTCAAGGAAATGGAACTCTCCCAACAAACACAAGTGATAGGTTTCAATCTAGTAAGTGCTAAACCAAACGAATTAGAAAAAATCCTACCGTCACACACCATCTCATTCTGCCAGCTCACTTCTCCTCTCTGGAAGGAAAAACAAAGCCTTTTCTCTTTCATGGTTTAACTGAACTCAGATCTTTCAGCACTAAAACAGACTTCTCATGTTATGTATGCCCTCAAAAGCAAAGAGGCAGCAGTATTTTATTTCACATATTTAAAAAGCCCTTTTCCTTTATTTGCCCTATTTTATTGTTCTTCATAGTATTTCAACCCCACCTGAAATTTTTTTAAACTCTACACCCAGGGGCACCTGGGTGGCTCAGATGGTTGGGCGTCTGCCTTCGGCTCAGGTCATGATCTCAGGGTCCTGGGATTGAGTCCCGCATTGGGCTCCCTGCTTGGTGGTGAGCCTGCTTCTCCCTCTCCCTCTACTGTTCCCCCTGCTTGTGCTCTCTCACTCTGTCAAATAAATAAATAAAATCTTTAAAAATAAATAAATAAACTCTACACCCAACGTGGAGCTCAAACTCACGACCCCAAGATCAAGAGTCTCATGCTCTACTGACTGAACCAGCCAGGTGCCCCTAAAATTTTAAGTATTTATTTAGTTGTTGGTTTCCCACCACCACCAACCAACCAGCAACCAACCAATTCAACTCAACCCAAGACACACACACACACACGCACGCACACTGAATGAATGAAATTGTTCCATGTTATATCAACCACATCGAATGCAGTATTGCTTGTAAATTGTGCTTTAATTTCTGCAATCAGATATGATGCAGTGAGATACAAGTATAAACGTTCATTGTACATTGGGAAAATAGAAATCACGTTTATACAGATAATAGCCCAACAGCTTATTCCCTTTAAAAAAAAGTTTTGAATGTTTTTAAAGCTAATTTATTTTCAGTGTAAAAACTTGGAGGTATAAACAAACTCAAGATATTATATACAGTAAATTAATGTACATTTCCAAATTTGCACAGTGCAGCATTTTAAACAAAGTAAATGGTCTCATTTCAGCTTTTACTGTTAAGCATAATCCATATCTCAATCTTGAATAAAAATGTCACAATATATAAACCCACTGAGAATTCTGTACACAAATACAAGTTTATAGAAATCTGATTTCAAATATAAATACATAAATTGTCATGACCTCACATGTTACAACAGCTTATTTTTCTATTGTACTTTTTTTAAAAAAAATCATAGAAAAATATTTCAACACACATTCAACCGCTATGACAAGGGCCATGACCTTGTGCCTTTAAACCATACTTTGTGGAGTGTAAAGCATCACACCAGGCATTTTTGGAATGAAAATTACTAAGATTCTAAGATTGAAGAGGCTATTGTATAAATATTCACGTTATAATATGGTAACAAAAATAGTTAGCTCCATAGTGTATTTGGGAGGCAGTGGGGCAGAGAAGTGGAGGTTAGTGCTAGTTTAAGAAGGCCCACAGAACGTATGTTAAGGTAGCTAATGAACTAGTGTATTTTTAAAATCCCTACTGCAAGCCTAACACTGAAATCACTAGTGAGACTCTTAAGGCAACCAAGACCGGACATGCGTTTGGCCCCCAATGCATGAATCCTGCCCTCTCAGCCTCTGTCATTTTAACAGGCCAACCTGGCTCACGTGTCAACGTGGAATGGGGAGAACAGCAAAGCAATTTCTTGTACATACAAAAAGACGATTCAGTGCAAACTGAGAAACTTCTTTGTCAATAGTTTCCAAATTTCTTACTGCCCTCAAGCAACTGAACTTTTTCTAAACATGTAACATTCAAATTGGGATCTACACTGGAGAGCAAATGTATATAAAAGGCAAACATTCAATTTGAAACGTTCTAACATTAGTTTCCCCCCCCTTCCTTTTGTGGGTTTTAACAGAGTTCCACTGAGAAAGAAAAAACTGGTCCTTAAAAGTGTACTTTCCTGCATTTAAAAATATATATACCATTTAGACAGCAGATCCAAGGTGACCAGGCATAATCAAGTTTCTTCTATGGCTTTGAAATCGTTGAGGTACTGTAGGAGAACCATCACCTCTGCTATTCATACTTCTTGGCCTCCCTACGGAAGCCACGTTCAGAAGTGATCCTGCTCACGCCTGCGTGGTTACAGAGACTTTGGGGAGACCGCGTGAGGGCTGCGGCGGAGGACCATGGGCACAAATGGCCCCAAGCCTCGGCACACTGTTAGAAAAAGGCAAAGCACTTTCAGTTTAACCAACAGATTTAGCAGCAAGATCCTGGGACTCGGTGCACCACAGCAGGGAGCGTGGGGACGGCAGTGAGGGGGACGGAGTGGGCAGAGGGAGACCTGGAGCTGTCAGCACACGGAAAGGGCGGTGGGGCTGGCTGGCTAGCCCACCAGCCCCGCACAAAGTGACACAGTCTATGCAAGAGGGGGGATGGCCAGAAATGTCAGGATGGGTGACATGGATGGAATTTCCCCAGCTTTTCTCAGGCGAGAGGATGTAGAAGGGAAAAATGCTATGGGTTAAATGAATGCCATACATCTTAATACCTCTATGTGAGTCTTTCAATTTGCCATACACACACTGAATAAAGCTGAACCTGCTCCAACTAAAGATGGGTAGAGAGACACACACTCTTCCCAACGACTAGATAAATTATCTCGGCACAAAAAAAAAAAAAATTATCTTGGCACAGAAAAGATCTGAAGAAAGTATCGAGTCCAAGAATGTCTGACCAAAGCCCTTTCTAGTAGTAAACCCGCCACTGCAGGTTCTGTATAATACTTACGCATCAAACAATGGCCAGTTCTATTATGGGTCAAGTAGTAACTCCTTTCAATTAATAATACTAGAGATACGGTTTTAATTGCATAGTCTTTCAGGAGCATGAAAAAACCACGAGAACCAGCTCTTTTCCTGAAGGTCCAGGCTTCCCGCTACAGAGCCCTGGACTAATGCCTCCCCGCGCCCCGCAGCAGTAAGCTTCAGCATGACCCACTAATCCGGAGATCAAACGTGTTCGACTCCTGTCCCAGCCCTCACCGTTCCTCCTTCACAATCACTGAGCAGACGGGTCACACATCCCCCAGATCCACAAACTCATCTTCTCGTTTGGCCAGATCGTCTTCATCACCCAAAGCTTTCCAGCCACTGGTGGGCAAGACTGGCTTCGAGGAGTGTCGCTGCAGCAGAGCGAAAGGAAACAAAGAGGACAAGCGGGCAGAGCTCCTCAGCAAAGGGGGGGCCTCTGCCGGGAGGGCCCCCTGGCTGTGGTGTCTCTCATCGACTTTCTCTTGTAAGTGCTCTACTTCCTCCATCATTTCCAAGAGTTTGCTCATGGTGGCCACTCTGCCGCCACCCAGAATTTGGGCTTCTGGAATCCAGCGCAAATAGCGCTGGGCCCAGACTTTGATTTCTGGCCCCTCGATGTGAGGCAGCAACAGACCGTGGTAGTCCGTGGGCTTGCTGTGCCAGCTTTCATAGAACTCTCGAAAGTTGTCTTGCAGCTCATCAGAAGAATTAATTAATTTGCTAATTCTCCTGCCCAGAAGGTTTTTAATTAAATGATCTGTTTCTTCCCTGAAAAATCCTCTTTTGGGAGATGATTTAGATTGGGTAAGTGGTAAAGAAAGTTGTCGTTGATGCTTTGAGAGAAAACACAAATAAAAATCTCTGGTTAGCTAACAGCAGTTACAATCATTCCTCTCAAAAAAGGAAAAAAAAAAGCGGGGGTGCGGGGGGGGGCATAATCCTGCGTTAACAAGAGTCATGAGAAATCAGAACCACCATGTGAATGAAAAATCATTAAAAAGCAGTAACCTGGTGGGGGAGGGGGTTCCTGTTTACTCCACGACGCAAACATTAGATGCACATGGCATTTAGAGATAAACAGGTGAAAGCAGGCACGTGCAGGGCTGTGCAGGAAGGTGGGCTGCGACAGAAGAGCAGCTTTCTACTTCCTCCTCTCCTGCCACAGGCACAGTGAGCACTCCCGAAAAACAAGCTTAACTCAAGCTGGGCTGCCGAATTCGGCCAGTGCGGGTGTGAGGCCTATTCATTTTCCGGAGACAGCAAAATGTTTCTTCCTTAAGAACATTCTGAACACCCGGGAGGAAGCAGTGCTGACTACCTGAAGATCCCATCGCTTTAATGAACTACATTTGCAGGTTATCAGGCATCCAGTGGGAGTCCAAGCCTATGTCATCAAGATTCTTTTGGACAAAAGACAAGTGGGAGCAGAAGGAATTTGAGGAACTGGCTAAATTGGTCAGATGTTCTTGCCTGACAAGCTGTGCCGAGTAGAAGATGCAAGAGCATTGACATTATTTTCCTCCCCAGTAATTCTACCAGCAGCCAAAGCAAAGTATTCTAAACTGAGGAGCACCAGGACGGGGCTGTGAAGATGGGTAAAGACGTAAAAGGTTACAAGGACCCCCGGGGCCCAATGGAGAGGTCAGCAGTGTGGGGAGATGCTGTTTCTCCCCAGCTCTTTTGCTCCTGAGGTGTCCGTTTGAAATAAGAAGTCAACAGTTTTATGGGCAGGCTAGCCCTATAACTCTCTCATATATTCCTGCCAGTGGTTCTTCCTGGGGGGGGGGAAGGGGGAAGAGGAAGCATCCTTTATTATGGAATACAGAACAATAAAAATATAAAGAAGAAAAGCAAAACCAGTCACAATGCCACAACTCAGAGCTGACCAGGATTTCTGACTTTCCAGCGGGGATAGGAGCACCGAAGGCCAGGAGTCAGCAGCCTGGCCTCTCTCCTCCGCAGGGGCCAAGGTGACTCAGTCTAGGCTGGGGGGCCAGCTGCGTGCGGGTGGAAGCAAACAGTCGCTGAGTGTTTGCCGCCTGCCGGGTTCTGTGCTCAGTGCTTTACGTGCATCGACTTGGCCAATTCTCCAAGTCACTGTTCCTGCCCCGTTTTACAAACGAGGAAAGCAAGGCACAGACATTAATACACAAAGACCCCAGCTATACAGTGCTAAAGGCAGTTTTACATACAGTCTGGCTCCAGAGACTGGACCCTTAACGGAACTCCACTTGTCTTGGAAGCCCCTCCTCTCAACCCCTAAGTGAACGGTGTGTTCAAGAAGGGCAGGGTGGGAGTGGCATGCCTGGTCCAGGCTGAGGTTGAGATCGCATGCCTGAGTGGGGCCCGCCGCCTCGAATGGCAATGCAAAAGCAGTGCTTCATGCTGCTCAGCCACGGCCTCTTTTGTTTCTACAGAACTTTTCCAAGGCCATGTGCCCACTCAACAAGGGGCCCGAAGCCCAACACATGATGTCCTAACACAAAGGCTTCAAAGTTCCTCGTCGCCCCAGCCCCAACTCTTCAGCTGATACAATCTGAAATTCTCCAACTCTGGCTCAAACCTCCTGCACCAGTCAGCTCCTGGAGCCTCGGCCATCTGCTCCTGATTACAGGGAGAAAGGACACTGAGAAAAACTGGATCTGGTCACAGAAATGAAATCCAGCCTTGCAAGGGGGAGCCTCAGTTTCCTTCCATGCAACATATGGAATCAGGCCTCGCTGTCTCTGAGGTCCCTTGCCCTCTCCAGCCCGGGGCACGTCTGAGATCCTGAACAGGTGAGAAGCGTGCACGCAGCCACTAGGGGGCACAGCACACTGAGGAGAAACGGACCTCGGGCCAAGCTGTTCCAGAGCTCAGGGCAGTTCTGGTCCAGCGGGCAGGAAAGAGACAAAGCTGGGAGGGGAAACATCCACCCCGGCCCTGAGGACCCTTGAAAGAGGAAAGCGACAGTTCGAAGTTGTTCAGCAGCTGGTATCTTCTGCAAGAGCGGGCTGCGGCTCACCGGGCCCCCAAGCCTCTTCAGAACGGAGTACCTCCCGCACCAGGACTGGCCAGGCTCCCTGGACGGCAGGTGGGATCAGAAGAAGGGCAGTGGAGAAGGCAAAGACACACACTGACCTGGGATTCATCACTACCGCTTTCCCCTTTGTGGGGTGTGGTGGGGGGAAATTCCAGGCCAGGAGACAGAGTTAGGAGATGGCATGGAAATCACTGATCATCTAGGGAACTTGGGGGTTTTAATAACTAGTACAATGAGTAACAAATATCTGAAGGGATATCCAAATAATTTGACAGTTTTGGTTTATAGCACAGGTGAGCAAAGGACAGCCCATAGCCGATCAGGCCCGGTGCCTCTTTTTGTAAATACCGGGACACAGCCGCGCTCCATCGGTCGAGAGCAGGAGCTGGGCTGGAGACTGTGCGGCCCTTAACAGAATCGACTGTAGACACAGCTCAACGAAGAGAGGTCTTGCTACAGAAGACATGAGCCGGTACAGACAGAGCAAACCTCACAATTAATGCTCCTTCTGCCCTAACCACACTCAGGTAGGGGGTACACATGAGCCCATGCGGCACAGCTGTGTTGGCAGTAACCTCCCCAGTGACGCTGAGCAGATGGCCGTGTCTCATCAGGGCAAAGGCTGATACGCTGACAGCAAGTGAGTCTCACGGGCCCTGACAGTTTGCCCACCACAAACCTGGACTGTGCAGGCTGTTTACAGAATGTAAAGTTACAGGATGTAACTTTCCTCCTGACATACATGGGGATCTCTGGGCAGATGAAAGGGGTTAGACATGTGGTCATCTTACTTTCAAATGCGTTCCTTTCCGCTGGCCTTTGTCCAGTTTTGGCTTTTCCACATAAAGAGGGTTTTTGAGCAACATCTGGGCTTTAGATTCGAACTGTACGGACCAATCCCACACGGTGAGCAGATTCAAAGGCTTGCTTTGTGTATCTTGGCTTTCCCTACCCTGCCAAAACAAGCACAGGTCACGACGGCTACCAGGGAGGGCTGGGGAGAGCAAGCACACAACGCCGAGAGACCCGCACCAGGAAGGGCGCTCCTGCCCTGCCCGGAGACCGACCACTCATGGGTCCTCCTTTTTTTTTTTATTTTTTAGAGAGCGAGCGAGAGAGAAACAGCATGAGAGGGGAGAGGGTCAGAGGGAGAAGCAGACTCCCCGCTGAGCCGGGAGCCCGATGTGGGACTCGATCCCAGGACCCTGGGATCATGACCTGAGCCGAAGGCAGTCGCTTAACCATCTGAGCCACCCAGGCGCCCGGGTCCTCCTTTTTAAAGGCTGCAGCTGTCAGTGGTTGTTCACTTAAGGCTTTGGGTGGGAAGGGAGAGAGGGAAGACGGTCACCTTATTTTCCAGTGGCCCACGTGCCACCCACTGATGGGCACTTTCACCACAACCCTTGTAAGGTCACTATTTCTCACATTTTATATTTGAGGAAGCTGAGGCTCAGAAAACTGAGGTGAACTGCCTGAGCTCTTGAAGCTGGTGAGCAATGGGCTGGGCTCTGGAACTGGGGCTGTGTGACTGGAAGACCACGTTCTGTGCCCCTACTTCACTGAGGAATTTGCTAAAACCACTCCCGAAGAGCCAGCTCAGGCAAACCCGGAGGCCAGCAGAAAAGCCGGCCAAAGGCATTCAGCGTGGTTAGAAAGTAAAAACTCCCAGGAGCGAGGCCTCAAGGGAGACTAAAGGAGTTTAAGATGGAAAGTAAAAGCCTAGTTTCCCTACTCTGCCTCATCTCCATTTTCTTCAGAGTAACTCCAGGCATCAAGTAAATGGAAGAGAAGGCTGACCGTCTTTACAAAGAACAACTTTTAATTTTGCTTAATTCCTCACCTCCAACACTTGCTCTCCCAGCTCCAGTATTTACTGTGTGGCCTTGGGCCAATTACTCATCCTCTCAGTGCCTCAGCATCTCAGGGTAAGAATGTGGACCCCACAGGGTGCTGTGAGAATTATCAATACCCAGAAAGCACTCAAAACAGGGCCCAGTATGGGGCGCCTGGGTGGCTCAGTCGTTAAGCGTCTGCCTTCGGCTCAGATCATGATCCCAGGGTCCTGGGATCGAGCCCCGCATCGGGCTCTCTGTTCAGCGGGGAGCCTGCTTCTCCCTCTCCCGCTCTGCCTGCTTGTGTTCCCTCTCTCACTGTCTCTCTCTGTCAAATAAATAAATAAAATCTTTAAAAAAAACAAACAAAAAAAACAGGGCCCAGTATATTGTTACACAAATATTCTTTACATTAAAATTATTGCAATCTATTTGTGAGTCAGGGCTTCTTTAATGCACAGGTTCCTAAGAGGGACTCTTACCATGTTAATATCTTTTTGATGAGGCGAATTGAAGAAGAAGGTGCTAAAAATAGGTATGTACAAACTATCTGACAAAACAGTCAGGTAAGTCTCTGTGAAATCAAATGCTGGGGGATGCTGGTGCACCAGCTGCCAGACACAATCCAAGAAAAGCAGGAACACAGGAACCTATGTGAAAACAAGATACATGTTACTGAGCAGGCACTGAGAGGCCAAGGCCAGCTGTCCCGAGTTCAGGGGCAGCCATCTCAACAGTTGTGGAATAACCACTTCTGGGCACTATATTCTCTGAGAAACAACAGTAGACTCCATCCTATTCCAAGCAATGAATATGCTCAACTGAAGTCACATGCCTGTAAATTAATATCCGTATTTGGCAGTACTGATCTGTGTAAAAGACATTTCAAAGATGAAATATGTAAAATCTCATTACTGATCAAGCATTGACAGATGAGTATTTGCAACTGATTTTGATGATAGGGAACACTTTGAATCCCAATTAAGTGAAATTGTTATCTCCCTTCCAAAAAGAGTTCCATTCTTCTTACTTGTACTCAATATTTTGAATTTTGTCAACATTCCTTTTTCCGCCCCCACAATGACGGTGCAGAAGAGAAAGAGGCCGGGAAAGAAGGCAGAAGCAGCAAAGGTGAGTTTCTAAGCTTTTTTCACAAGTGTACAGATTTTTTTAACTGATAGCCTCCTTTATTAGCTACCTAGAGGCAAGCCCTTTAAAGGCAGAGAGAGGTTTCTAGTGTGCTTTATCATTCACAAAGTGTTTATCCTTCTGAGCCAGTGACCCTGCCAGGGGAAGACAAACCATGTCACGGCCTCTCCCTTACGGAGGCTGCCCACACCCCATGCAGCCCAGAAGAGAGACAGGAATTGGGAATCCAGCTCTTGAACCAAATGCAGGGCTGCATCCATTATATCACAAAGCAAACAACCCCATTTTCCTTTAAAACTCCAATATGGTGTCAAGTAAACTCAAGTATAAAAATATAATTTTAAAGATTTAAGAAACTGTGGCACCTGGGTGGCTCGGTTAAGCAACTGACTCTTAGTTTCGGCTCACATCCTGATCTCAGGGTCGTGGGATCAAGCCCCATGTTGGGCTCCCTGTTTGGTGCGGAGTCTGCTTGGGATACTCACTCCTTTTCCCTCTGCTCCCAACCCCCAAATAAATAAATCTTTAATAAAAATAATTTAAAAATTTTAAAAATAAAAATAAATTTTAAAACTTCAAGAAATGAAAGTAGTCACGTAATAGAAAAGAAAAACCAACATGTTGATGTTGAGATGTTAAGAAATGTTTATATAGCAACTTTTTTTTCTTAAAGACTATTTATTTATTTGACAGAGAGCACAAGCAGGGGGAGCAGCAGACTCCCCGCTGAGCAGGGAGCCCAATGGGGGCTCCATCCCAGGACCCCGGGATCATGACCCAAGCCAAAGGCAGACGCTTAATCGACTGAGCCACCCAGGTGCCCCTATATAGCAACTTTATTTCACACCTTATTTTCTGCTCAATGTATCATTTAAATAGAATGGAAAATATCTGAACCTTATTGTAGAGGCAGGAAAATGGGTTCAGAAAGTTTGGTTGACTTCTCCAAAGGCTGGATGAAAGCAGATCAGACTGGATCTGCTCTTGGACTTATTCCTGCCCCCCCCCCCCGCCCCCACGGTACCTGTCCGTCCTCACTTTCTCAAGATAGCCAAAACATACTCTTCCCCACAAAGTATCATCTCTCTCTGCCCATCATGTTATTTGAGTCCCATTAACCTTGCAAAGTCCTCAGAAAGGCAAAGTCCATTCTAAGACTGAAAATGGTGATTTCCATTCACCTTGATGGGACACAGACGAGCAGAGACCAGGCCTGAAAGAAACCTCAAGCCTAGCTAGAGAAGCTGGGGTCTTCCAGGAATTTGGAGAGACTCCTACAATTTCTATTAATTCCATAAAACCGCTCCCCACCCGACACAGCCACATTTATTATCTGGAGTAAGAACAGCCATGAGTCCTCCTCCTAGAATACGGGAACTTCACAGGTGATTTAACTAAAGAAAGTTCACCTGTTTTCATTTTACCTTCCATAGTCATTAATAATGTAGCCAAAGTAGTTTACACAGCTGCAGCTGAGACAAGTACACCACAATTTGGGGGCTAACTAAACTACAATGCTAACTCGCCTACGCCTGAATTCAGGGTCCATGCAGGGAGCAATTCACACAGCCAGGAGCAGAAGAGGTTGTGTACACAGCGGACATATACTGCCGATAAGGTCCTGGTAATGGATGGCATTAACATAACCCCACGCTTTATTCTGAAAAGATTTATGTGTTATTATGTATTTTCTGTAACTAACTTGTATACTGGATATTCTTTTTTTTTTTTTGCAAAGATTAACTTAACAGAAATTGTAGGAGTCTCTCTGAATTAATTTTTAAGTTTTACAACAAATCAATGTTATTCCCATCATGAAATAAATATCCACCCTTAGTGTACACAATTTATAAGAGAAGGATCTGAACACACTAACCCCTTTCCTTGGGGAAGGGCTTCGATACCATTTAAAGCATTCAGAGTCATCAAACGGTGAAGTGAACACAGCCTTCCTAACAAGCCCATCGGCATGCACTTAGCAAGCAGTAACCCTCCATCTGAAGACAGGTATTAAGTAAGAGATCGGGGACTTCTGCAATGAGGACACTCACCTCCTCTTTGTCACTCTGACGGAGGTGGTTGCAGCGATCCAGGAAACAGTGCCCACCCATGATCCACTCCTTTTGGACGAGGCTCTGGAAACCAACCCTGGTTCTGCAGTGGGGGTCCATCATCACTTGCACCAGAGAGGAAAGGAGGCAGCAGAGGTCGGAAGCGTTCTCCTCTGGGAGGGGCCCCAGTGCCAATACAAAGAGGCAGGAGAATGTGAAGTTATTTAAAGCCGCCCAGAGCACTTGCACAGTTAATAACAGGGTTCCCCAAACCAAAGTCGGCTTGCTAACTGACAGTCAAGCCCTACTTCTCTGAAGCCAAAGATGCCAATGGGAAACAAGGTAGTGTTTTCAGACCGAGGACAAGCTGCTTCTGGCCAGTCTCATACAGGTTCCCGAATACTCTGGCCCTAAGCAGGGATTTGCTTACTGAATGCATAAAACGTGTCATGCCAAGTCCACTGTCAGCACGTGGGCATCCCAGCGTGCCACACAACGAGGACAGAACCAAACACAAGATGGCGGCCTGCAGGGCTTCACAGACCAACTTCAAACCTCTTCCGGCTGCTGTGTCAAAGCAAAAGTCCTCACTGGACCCACTGTTCCCAGGCTCGGCTGCTTCTCAGACTCACCTCGGAGCTCCTTTCCTGCACTCCCTCTGCTTTGGAGGAAGTGTAATCTCTCTGGACCCCCTTATTCCCAGCTCCACAGCACTTTCTGTTTCTGTCGGAGAGCACAGAGGTGCTCTGCCTAGCCTGGAGGAGAAACTCCCCTCGGGCTACTTCCACGCGCCCACCCCCCGCCATCCCCGGAGCGCACCGTACAAAACCTGTACGATGAAAATTCAGTGCACACACTTGTTTAGCATTCAGGACTCACAGCTAATAAAAGCATACATCACCACCCACACATTTGGCTTAAGAGTTTTCAGATCCTAAAAGGGAGGGTCTACATCCCCGTGGTTTCCCCTTTACAAAGAAGTCCAACCAAGCTGTTATTTAAAAATGCCCATGGGGATACAGTGCTAGTAGCGGTGCAGTTGGAGAAACTTGAGAATGAATTCTCAGTAGGTAGAAAATTCTCATTCTGACCCTGTCATGGTGAGGCACCGCGGCCCAGGCTTACGCTTGGGCTTCTGCTTCTCTCCCAGGACACAGGTCTCAACTACGGGAGCGCATGCGTTTCAGAGAAACGGTTTCGTCTATGGAGTGCTATCAAGGCTCATTTTTAAGGGAATCTTCCTCCTTGCATCTGAAGGATATTAATAGTATATGTGTGGGTAACAGGAAGAGTGGCTAGAAAAGGAGATTTCAAAGGAGACAACTCAGTGGTCCATCTGGGAGCAAGTGACTTCTCACAACTCAGCCAAAGATGCAGATTTCCTTTATGTGACTCTGACTACTGCCGTCTGGCCCTCACTGCCATCTCTCAGACCCCAATCTATCCCTCCTCCTTTGCACCAGTTACTCAGTCAGTACTCTGTTCTGCCATTGGTGGTAAGGTCTTTTTCAATAACGTGCTCAGGTCAACTCTCTCATTAGGCTGTAAACTTCTAAAAGGCAGAAGTATACAGCTCTGCACATGGCAGGTGCTCAATAAATGTATTCAAATTGAAGTCACTGAGCCAATCTCAGGTGGTACAGAAGCCCCAGGCAGACACATTTTCCAGCCTGCCCACAGAGGCTAAATTTCAGCAATCACGGAGTGCATCAGAGCAATGGTAAAAGCTTCAGGGTATGAAAGCATGAGATAATCTACTGAATTGGAGGTACAGGTCTATAAGAAGTTTCAAATACTCTAAATAGCAAACATAATATTTTAGCTGAGATCTAATCAATTTCAGCACCTTTTTAAAAAAGCGGTTTACACCTGTTTTTACACATTCTGAATTTGTATGTCCTGTTGGCAAGCATAGCAAGTTAAGCCCACTGAGGAAAAGGAAATCATGACACAAAGTTTCTACGGCAACTGCACAAGGTTGTCAAACACAAAGGTATAAAAATAACAATTAAACCATCCATGGGTTTCTTTTATATAAAAGGAATTATCAAAAGGTTTTAACTTTAACCAAGTTGAGTTAATATAAAACAAAATCCAAAGCATTGGAAATGTGACCTTTGGTGAAGATACCAAACAGTTCCTTCTTGGGCTGCAAATAGGTCTGCCAAGTTCTAAACGAAGGATTTATTTTTAAACTGTAACACTGACCTCAAATGCAAAGGATTCCAAGGTCAGAGTAGAAAAGAACGGGAAGGATTTCTACACTAGCTCACTCCTTTTATAAGACAATTCCAATTCCATGAAGCTGTGTATATAGAAACTGAATCTTGACTGAAGGAAAATGAAAACCACTCCTTGTGCTTTAAATATATTACCTAAAAGAAGAACGTTCATGTTTTGTGCTTCTAGACATTCTGTAATCTCTATTGCTTTTTTCAGGCAACGTCTAAATTGGAAAGAGACAAGAAAGGGGCGTTAGTTCCTGAGGTTGGTATCAAAACGATGAGAAGTTTAGAGCCAGAAAACTGAAGACTAAGGGAGACGATCTCATTTGTTTTTCCACTTGAAATCCTCCAGAAAAGCAGCAATTACCATTTACACTATTCAGATACTGCAACACACTCATTTGCCAATTAGAAACTGAAAAATTTCAGAAAGGAATCCCAAAACTGATGTTAAAACCTAGGTGATTTCTAAACTACAAACTCTTATTGAGAACTCATGCCTGAGTCTGGCCCGCGAGTCCTAGTAAGACCCACCAATGCCCATGTCAGAAACTGTGCCGCACGCCCACATCATTTAATTCAAGGTCACTTGCCAAATGTGTCAGTGTGGCTGACGAGATCCAATATGCCCAGAAATCCCTTTTGTCTGTCTCTGTACACACTATTCCTTTTACAGCTTCGACTGTTCTCTACTTATAACTAGGGGCTTCCCAATGCTGTTCCCTGCCTGCAGGGGTGCCTCCCTCGGCCGACTCTTCATTTGTTCTCTGCCCACTCCACATAACGAAGGGTTCTTCTCTGTGTGACATTTATCACTGTTTGCAATTATACATTCAAACTGTGGGACACGTGGCAGGCTCTTCAAAACATATTTGTTAATAAGTGTTTGGAGGGCTGAGGCTCCGTGCCACAAACCTCACCGGCAGAACTGAGAGAGATGCCGTGCCAGGTCAAGGGAAGAATTCTTCTCTTTTCTCAAAAGAATCCTAGGGCCGCCGGAGCTATTCTCGCACCCCTGATCATCATTTCTGTTCTGTGCCTCCCCTTTGCCCTCTCCTTTACTTAACGGCAACAGGGAGGAGCTATTCAATATATGAAGTAGGGAAGGGAATGTAATTCTGTCTCTGAGGCTCTCAACCTAATTCCAAAACCCAAAATGACTAATTGAGATTAATCATAAAGTTATGGAAAAAAAAAGGGGGGACACCTGGGTGGCTGCCTTTAGCTCAGGTTATGATCCCAGGGTCCTGGGATCACGCCCCGCAATAATTTTTAAATAGGTAATATACACACGAGACACAGAATTCAAAAAGGTATTCAGTAAAAAGTCAGCATCCCTCCCCTTCGCAATCCTGGTTCCTGCTTGGAGGCCAGCACTACTGCCTCAGTTAGGATCTTGGGTTGCCACGCCCCCTTTTCTGCAGTCTTTCAATGCCTAGTCTAGAGCCTACAGAGATCTCCTTCTGAGCGGGTAGCATGTCTATAAATTCAGATCAAATGTGCACAGAATACATAACACGTAAAATCCAGCTGAGCCCTGAAGAAACATGTGATCTAAAGAACAGTTAACTGTGAAATATAACAGTTATTTGTCAATTTGCTTTACTACTTTGAATTGGAGAACTATAAAATTCATGAGCAAAAGAATGGCTTGAAATACCTGATTATGTCAAGCCAGCTGCTGCTTTCCAACAGAGAAAACCATTTTATATCTGTGTCCCAAAATTCGGTACTATTATCTGAAAAAAGAAAAAAGAGTAAGAAGTCAGGTCACTGTTCTCTTCCACGTCTGCCACCAAAAAGCTGTGCTACTCAAGCATGCTGTTCAGACAGTCAGTCCTGGACCTGGACTGCAGACTCCAAGCACAGATCTCTGCTTTTAAGCAAAGGACATTTCCAGACCTCAGCTGAAACGGTGTTTGAACTTATATAAGCCCCTGGAAGGGGGTGGCAATCAGAAATGGATTTTTTAGATTTTTATTGCTCAAATAAAAAGTGCCCCACGGTATGTATATAAAGTCACAGTCCACCTTTTAACTCAACAAGGTGAGTAACATGTTTTAGGCAGAAATGGTCAGGACCCAGGCTATACTGTTCCTAGTAGTGGAAAATGCAACAGGATACATCCTGATGCCGGGCAGCCCAAAGGGGGAGATTTGGCTTCTGTTGGAATCCTAAATATACAAACACATTTTCCTTGCTCACTCCTACACCATCCCCTCCATCCACCTTGATACAGAGAACTCTGCGTTTCATGGACATCTAAGACATGTCAAAGTTGCAAACTCAAATCAGTGACAAGGCAGACACTTCTGCGAGTCCTGGAAGATGAGAATGGAAGTGTAGAATCACAGTCCTGTAACAACTAGTGCAGTGAAGACTATATGTTCAGGGATCATTTCTATTGTTTGTTACTAGAGAAGTTTCTCTGAACGTGTAGAATACCCAAAATTTAAGATCTGCAAAAAAACCAAAAAACAATAAACTAGCGCAATGTATCACTCTCCACCAGATCCCTGCTTTTTATAAATCTATTTTGTAACACACAACATAGTGTGTTCTCCTTAGAGGCGGACACTGCTATGTCCCCGGGTGTCATATTCATCTTTATCTCAAATGCCTCCATAGTCAGTGCATTTAATGAAAACTCCAGAAACGTCAGCCGAATGAATGAATCCTAAATTAGCTGGAATTTGCTAGGCTAAAAAGTCCATGTTAGGAAAAACTACATGTAAGTGTGACCAATCTCAGATGGTAATACAGACTCACTGAAGAACGAGGAGAATAGATAACTGAGCTGGTCAAACCGGATTCAAGTCCTAAATTGTTCATAGTGGGCAGCCTAGGCAGGGAAGTGGGGGAGGCTGGGATGTGCATATTTCATTTCCTACTTGTCCATTTCTGCTTAATCTGAAGGGAAAAAAGAGATTTCCACTTGGGGTGGGGGCAGGGAGGTCCATTCAACAAGTGACCAACAAGAACAAACAGACCATTCGTTTTATAAATCACCGTGAGAGAGCCAGCGAATACTGGCATTGCACAGTCCCACAACTTTTAAAGGGAGAAGCCCCAGTGTTCCCCTCTGGGCAACCGGGGTGCTAGGGATGGAGAGAAGAGGAGGGGTGGGCCTGTGTTCACGGCCACGAGAAGGGGCAGTGGGGCATAAGACTGGAGAAAAATGGGGGGCGGACGTGGCAACGACACGGCCCCTTGACCACCAGCCCGCCCCTCCGCTCCACATCAACCCTCCTGGCCACGAGCCTCTGGTGCAAACTGAGCCCAGGGAAGAGGCACCAACTTTCACCTGATCCACGTGGCATGTCTTTCCCCATGTGACAGGAAGTTTTTACTCAGCATTCTTCTCACCTATCAGAAAGAGCTGTTTAAATCTAGAGTATGCAGTCTGGATGTCCTGAAGCGACAGGAAGTTGCTGGACAGGTCTTCGGTTTTAACAATTTCATAGGGTGGCCTGTGGATGGTCTTGTAAATTCTAGGTATCAAAAAGTAACGTGAGATTAGAAGAACAGATGTGAATTAGAAATAGCTTATTTGCCCTGAGCACTTACTATGTGCCCAGATCTGTGTGCATAGGATCTTCCCATTTAATCCCTGCCAATGAAGTAACCACCACAGGACTGCTGTCCCTGGTCAGCTGAGGTGGGAATGCAAGCGCCTGGGGCACTTCCCAGCCTAAGAGTATGAAGATTGTAAACTGACAGAGCCATGATTTGAACCCAAGGCAGTGTAACTTCAAAGCTGTCTTCTTTTCTGTTTTTAATTCATCCACTTTGGGTTTTTTCCCCCACATTTTGAAAAATTTCAAACATTTGTTAAAGGACAGTGACATAGGCCATGACCCGGATTTGACCACTGTCGACACTAGGGCCTTCGTGCCACTTCCCCCTAAATACTCAGGCATGCATCTCTAAAAACAACGCAGCTGACATTTTCTATGATTATGTTATACTGACTCCTTTCCAAGTTAACTTTTTTTTTTAAAGATTTTATTTATTTATTTGAGAGAGAGAGAATGAGAGACAGAGAGCATGAGAGGGAGGAGGGTCAGAGGGAGAAGC